TGCATCATCGTGTGAATCTAGAGAGAGAAAGAGGAGAGAGAGAAACCCTAATCACAAGGGCGAGGGAGAGAACGAGACAATGAGTGAGTGAGAGATTTTGAATGTCGAGACAGTGATTTGATTACGTTGGATTAGGGGTGGGTTCTAGGAACGGCCACGTAAGCCGTTCGCGTGGTAGAATTTTAATATATTTGGGCCAGTCGGGGCATGTTGGGCCCAGTTTTAATCTAAACAAACGGAAACGGTTCTCTCTCTCAGACGTCCCAATATTCATCAGAACCGACAATCGTGAACAGTGCTGACGAAATACGACCATGAAAAGACAAAAGATGTCGTCCGCACTGTAAAAAAAAAAAGTCAAAACAGTTTTCAGCTTCACTTTTACTTGCTAAGACAAACAGTTGAATGGTTCAATCTTGGGCAATGCTCTGGATCTGACTCTCTCTCTTGAACTGAGTCATTGGGAGGCAGCAGCATCAAACACTTCAAAAAGAGAGAAAAGTCTTCAACTTTACTCAGCCTGCGAAGCTGGTTGGTATGGAGCACTAATCTTTCTGTTCATGAAGTGCTAGAAATTCATATTGATCCCCATTTGTTTAATTCAGCTTTTTATGTAATTTTGTAGCCATTGAATTGAAGTGAATGATCTCAGCTCTCATATTCATGATTTGATGCTTTTTTTTCCTTCTGAAGTTTGGATTTTTTACTTTACAACTGTGAAGTGATCCATGGAGTTTCTGGGTTTTTGTCTTAGAAGCAATACAGAGTGAATGAACAAACTTTGGTCGACAATTTTTAGCCTTAGCAGATTGGAGTTATTGGATTTGCTTGGTATATAGTCATTTTGTATAGGGTTACTGGTGTGATCAAGGAAGTAATTAGATCTTGTACTTGGGGTAAAAATGGATTTGCATTTGAAGAACGTGTTTGATAGATTCCAGGAGCAATTTGGGTCTGGTCCGGGGCTTGGTCCTGGATCCGGGACATGTCTTATGAAGGTAGAAGGCATTTCTCCAAATTTTATTAAGTCAGTGTTTAAAGCTTCGGCAGCTCTATATAGGACTGATCCATGGAAAAGATTGTGCCCAGGGCATCTGTTTGGTATCCGGGTTGGGAAAGATACGGATTGGTCTGGCAAGAAACAGCCCTACCCATGTGTCCAATTCATTGGAGGGGATGGTGGCGATATTGGCTTTAACATGTTTCGATCTCAAAATGATGCTAAGAGGATGACTGGCTCAAGAGAGACAATTCAGGTGCCCAATGTTGAGCTTTTACGGGTCACATATGAACGCGAGTCATTGATGTTTCCCTCTAATAGGAAAATGATCAAATCTTTGTCATTGGAAGCATCAGGGATCGATCGCTTCCCTGTTATTGATGTTGCCCGCTGCACGTCGTCAGGGACTCTCAGATTTAGGCATCCAACTCCTGAAGAGCTTAGGTTTGTGTATGCATTCATGAAAGCCATAGCTCTGGTGCACCCATTGCTTCAGGAAGACAAAGAAGGTGGTCCAAAGTGGTCAAGGTTAATGTACTTTGAACCATTTATCGAGACGGTTGATGTTCAGTGGCCACAAGAAATGGCCAAAGGTTATGATCTCGTTGCAGTTACAATCTCACACCCACCTGGTCAGGCATATGAAGAAAAGACTATTTCAACGGCTAGCTCAACCCCAACCAAATATGCAGAACTATCAAGGGAGGAGGCTTTTGTTGATATAAGAGTCTACACAAATGGCAGCTTGAGACAGTGTGCAGCATGTGAGAAAGAAATCCACGGTGAACAGGCTCTCTCGTGTGTACGATGTCAAGCAGTGCTCTACTGCAGTACTGTCTGCCAGAAGCAGCATTTGAAGGAAACACATAAGAGCATGTGTGGTCTTTACAAGGCTATGATGGAAAGGGAAGAAGAGCTCAACCCCAACCAAATATGCAGAACTATCAAGGGAGGACGCTTTTGTTGATATAAGAGTCTACACAAATGGCAGCTTGAGACAGTGTGCAGCATGTGATAAAGAAATCCACGGTGAACAGGCTCTCTCGTGTGTACGATGTCAAGCAGTGCTCTACTGCAGTACTGTCTGCCAGAAGCAGCATTTGAAGGAAACACATAAGAGCATGTGTGGTCTTTACAAGGCTATGATGGAAAGGGAAGAAGAGCTGGCAATGAATATCTTCATGTTCCCCTGTGCTGCTGACCAACCTTGTAAATGGCTTGAATCATTGGGCATCCATCAGAAGGGCATGTGGAGGAGAAAGTGTAGTTGCTATTCTCACTGCCCCTTTGGTCTTCTTCCTGTTAAAGGTGGACTCTGGGATTCTTGGGGAGGGCTCGATGATGAAGAGTTTCCACGTGACTCATCCTTTCACCATCATGTAAGAGATGGTATGTCAAGTCCAATCCTCCTCTCTGGCTGGTCGGAATACTATAATCTTCGCTCGCTGCCATTGTCAAGCCCCGTTGCTGACATCCTCTCCCACCCATTGACTGTTTATTACATATTGACAACTCTCAACATCAGTTCAAAGAACTTACTAATGAAAGGTAAGGAAGTGGTTGTCCACTACCTAGGTCCAGAGGGAGAGTTGGATTGGATGCCAGCATTTGCAGAGGTTGGTCATTTGCTCAATGGATTGGGCAGTGTACAAATTATTATGGTGGGTTCTGAAGTTCCAACAAATTTGTCAGGGACAACTTCAGGAATTGGTAGCAGAGTGAGAGTGAATCTTGTTAGGGGTGTTTATGAGGAGGAAGCCTCCTATCTACCTTCACCTCATGTTATTGTTGCACTAAACTGTGGATTGAGTTGCTATTCAACTTGGGGCGGAGCTCTTAACTCAATTAAGTCCATGGGCGTTCCCGCCTTCTTCACAGATCAATCTGAAATCTCATGTGCAAACGCTAAACAGGTTTTACGAAGTGCTGGACTGCATATCACACATCCTGTGACGCCAAATCCTTTCCGCTCACCGGTGAAACATCACGAGCCTTCTAGCAATCTTCCTTCTTATAGCAATGGTTTTGTGCTTGGGGTAAATACATGAGTTGGGAACCATGAAGTTTGAAGTCTCAACCTGAACTTATTTCTGATCGTTATCCTTAATTCTCTAATGATTTTCTCTTTCTGTGATGGCAAATGGCAATGACTTGCTAGGGATGAATGGGACAGCTAATCACCATCTTTGCCATGAAGATTGCAACTTTAGCATTACTTCATCTACTTGTTTTCTCCCATTGAATTGTGAACTCAATTCCTGCTCGACTTAAGCTTTAGCTTGGTTCTATCTATTTGTTCTCAGCCACTGTCTCAGGCTGGGATGGCATCAATTCCGGTAGAGGCTCATGTAATAATTCATTTTTGATACTGGGAGTTTTGTGTTAGTCCTCGTGAATGTATATCCGGCAATATGATATTTTCAGTCGCTGGAATCCCTATTTCCATATAAGTCATCTTGAACTCTATATAGTGGTTAACGTTATAACCCGAATTGGGATATGACAATCGACGCTGTAGAGGTATGCTGCGAACAGTCTTCCACAATGTGGGGAATTTTACTTTAATTTTTTTTAATTATTGATGGATGTGAGGCGCCACAAACATCAATGGTCAAATTTTACCCACGCGCATGGACAAATTCTTCGTCAACTTTTATAGCAAGAAAACCTTGACCAGATGGAAATCATACGTGGTCAGATCAATCTTCCTCAAAAATTTCAGGCCTGCCATTCTGTTAGTTATTTTGCAGAACCCATTGCAATAAGGCCCTCCAGCGCAAGGGCCTGGCCCCGGCAAAAGGCAGCCCTAGGCCCCAAACCCATCTCCAGCCCGCGCAGTCCAGTTCGGGCAAAATTTGACTGGGCTGTTGCCCGATAGCTGCTGATGTCAGCGGCTGTTTTTCATATATATATTACTGTTGGTGTGTGTATTCCACGCCCCAATAGTAAAAAGAACTTGAAAATCAGCAGCTGACATCAGTGCTTACCCACCAACCCACAGAAACCAACGGCTACAAGCCACGTGGCTTCTCCTAGAGCCTCCGATCCAAAAATCTTATTCAATCCAGCGGCTGTCCAATTTTTGGCTAAAAAAACTGAAAAAAAATATATATCAAAAAATTTTGTAAAAAATATTGAAAAAATTTGGAATTTTTTTTCTATAAATACCTACCAATATTATTCACTTTCCACACCAAATCTTCATACAAATTCATCTCCTTCCAATATTTTTCACTTTCCACACCAAATTTTCAACTACAAAATTCCATTTGTACAAAAATACAAATGGCCTCTTCCATCGAAGCCGAAGGGTCGTGGACAAACTTTCGAAGAGGTCAAAATCTTGGCGACAAGGTAAAAAAAAATTTGCCGTTTTATTCAATTTAATGTCATTTTTTTTAAAAAAAAATTCTTGCATTACCAATTTCATTTTTTTAATAGATTATTTAAGGCAAATAGAAAAAGAGGAAAACCATTACACATGGCTCCTCAAGTGAACAATGCCCATAGTCGGTTCCAGTGGTCAGTTTCATGTCGGAAATAATGGCACTATTACGTCCTCCGAAGGACGAAGGAAAATACTCCCCCACATCGTGATCTGGTGGAACCGCCTCCGTCAATGATTGAGTCATCCTTGTACTCGATTGTGTCGGACTATGAGGACCGAGAGTATTTCAATTGTATGATGAGTGAGTAGATATTTCAATTGTATGATGAGTGAGATGTGAATTTTATAATAAATATGGACACGTGGCAACCGAAAATCTTATCTGAAAATTTAATTTGAAAAATTTATTCAAAAATGTTATCTGAATTTTAGGTGATAATTTTGTAATAAATAGTGACACGTGGCAACTAAAAATCTTATCCGAAAAGCTTATCAAATTTAATGATTTAAGTATAAAAAATAGAAAATAAATTAAAGTAAATAATGTTTGCCATTGACCTTGCCTTTCGGGGTGGAACCAAAAAAGGGAAGGCTGCCACTATTCACATGAATAGTGACAAACCTATAAAAGCCAGCCAAACAACCTTTCTTTCTCTCTGTGTTAAGCTACTGCCTGTCTCATCCCAGTCTAGATTTTCTATATTTATACTCTGCCCTGCAAGAAAACCTTGCCTTGCCTTTGTCTTGCTCTTGCCCTTTGGGGTGGAGGTGCTCTAATGTACGCAAGCGGCAGATGATAAGCTCTTTCAATTAGTCCACCTCATTTTGAAGCTTTTGAGCAACTACCAGAGATAGGTCGAAGACAATGCTCTGTCAAAGTTTGAAAAGCCAACTCAACCAACCTACCTTGAGTCCAAGTTTTTGGATCCCCTCGGCCTATAAAAGCCACTAGGACTATAAAAGCCAGCCAAACAACCTTTCTTTCCCTCTGTGTTAAGCTACTGCCTGTCTCATCCCAGTCTAGATTTTCTATATTTATACCCTGCCCTGCAAGAAAACCTTGTCTTGCCTTTGCCTTGCCCTTGCCCTTTGGGGTGGAGGTGCTCTAACGTACGCAAGCGGCAGATGATAAGCTCTTTCAATTAGTCCACCTCATTTTGAAGCTTTTGAGCAACTACCAGAGATAGGTCGAAGACAATGCTCTGTCAAAGTTTGAAAAGCCAACTCAACCAACCTACCTCGAGTTCAAGTTTTTGGATCCCCTCGGCCTATAAAAGCCAGCCAAACAACCTTTATTTCCCTATGTGTTAAGCTACTGCCTGCCTCATCCCAGTCTAGATTTTTTGTATTTATACCCTGCCCTGCAAGAAAACCATTTCCTCTTGGCTCTTGTAAATTAAAGCAATGGAGCTCCCAGCCTTCCACCCTTACCAATATGTCTTCCCTTCTCATCTCATTTATCCATATCACTTGGCCCCTGAAAACTACGTCCACTGGACTGAGACCTCAGAGTCTCACATTTTCTCTGTTGACCTCCCTGGTAAGTTTAAAAATCCCTCTTACTTTTTCTTTTATGGGTTTTTATGCAAGCGATAGTCTAAACAACTGTAAATTAATATAACTTACTAGGAGGCAATTCGAACTTGGGTGTAAGAAATGGGCTCACTGCCGTAATCAACTGGCATGATTGACGTCTGACCTCTTTTGGTCTTTTTAATTCACCTTTCTTGTTATGTTTCCATTGGAATGGTTATGAAGGTTTGTTTTTGGTTGTTGTAATATGCATATGAGCAGGTGTTAGGAAAGAGGAAATAAAAGTAGAAGTAGAGGACTCAATATACCTCATAATTCGAACACAGAGAATTGATGAAGCCACAGATCCCAGCAGGAACTTTATGAGGAAGTTTCGGATTCCGAGTAGGGTTGATCTCGAACGGATTTCAGCTGGATATGAAGATGGAGTATTGACAGTCACAGTGCCAAAATTTTCAAGGAGGACTTTCTTTATTGACCCAGCTGATGTCCCAGAACGGCTTGAAGTTCTTGCAAGGGCTGCTTGATTTCAAACATGGCAATTATTAATAATTTTATTATTATTATGTTATAATTAGGTGCGAAGTTCTAGTACTGATGAGAGTGATGTTTCGTTTCCAATGAAGGAAATATAACCATATATGGGAAATTGAAGAAAGAGGATAAAACTGTGGGGCCAAATAATTGAAGCTGAACTGTGGGGCTTGTTTTTTGGTCTGAAAATGGCTTTGGATAAAGGCATCAATAGGCTCATCATTGAAATGGACTCAGCTCTTGGTGTTCAACTTATCCATCAAACTGATGTATCTCGGTTCCACCCACTTGCTGGCTTGTTGCAAGATTGCTGCACTCTTCTAAGGCAATTTGAGAATTACCAGTTACATCATATCTATAGGGAAAGGAATTGCCTTGCTGACTGCCTTGCTAGGTGGAGCTACAACCTTGACTTAGGCATTTGTTATTTTGATAATGCTCCTGCGTGGGCTAATGATGTTTTGGTTGATGACCTCTTAGGGGTCTCTCGCTCTTGTCAGGTTTCTATTGCTAATTTGTAGCTTTTTTTGGGGTTTTACCCCCCCCATTTCATCAAAAAAGAAAGAGGATAAAACTAGTGCCAAAAAATATCTTACGTCACGTCCCAATCAAACCAAACAGATAACTTGCACAGTTGGCCACATTTACGAAAAGGATTTTGTTCAGTCAAATTTATTGTGGTAGATATTTTCCGAGGCGGATCGGGAATCTGCTGGGAATTGAACTCGAGAAGATAATTTGCGGGCGGCAGTCATGGGGCCACAAGATGCAATGTCTCATAAGAAACCCGTTTACTTTTTTTTTACTTTTTGTTTAATAAAAGTTTTGGGGGAGTTTGGCTAATCTCACCACCAATGCCTGGGCAAACCCACAATCTCGAGCGGGAGACTTACCCCGGCACCCAAACCATCGTTGGCTGAAAACCATGTGCTTTCAACATCACATTGCACCAACTTTGTACAGTGGTAAAAACCAAGCATTCAATTTGAGATACGTCATAAGTTCTTACCCTACGCAATCAAATTGCCCTGCCCTTACCCCTTCTTTTCCCCATTGAACGTGTAAATTCAATTGCAAATATGCACATCAGATCCTAACAAAACAAAGGTTTTTACACAGTGCCTGCAAACTCAAAAACCTAGCCCTCCTGCAGTGGCCAGTTTCAGAATTTCAACAGCCTCCTTTAATCTTCTCTCTGTATATTCTCTACCAACTGTAACTCGGGCGTTCCTGCATTAAGATAACACTAAGGCTTAAAGCTCAACTGATAACACAGATCACATAAAAGAAGAGAGATTCTTTGCTGAAATCCAACCTCTTCTCATTGTTGGCCTTCTTGCTAAGTTCCTCAACAAGACTGTGGAGCCTTTTCAAAAGGGCAGGTGATTTGCGTACAGCTTCAACGCCTTTACGACTAGCGCATATCTTCTTCAGAAGCTCAGAAGCAATGAAATAACCCTCCTCCTTGTTCCTGATATTAAATTAGGTTATAGCCCTTAACCCAAGATGACAAAAAGGCCCCATACAATCTAACTTCCAAAATAATACGAACCTTAGGAACTCCCCTACAACAGTTTCTACTGACCCAGGACTATCAACGAGCACTTCAACCAGATGTGGATAGCGGGCAAGGTTCCTTAGAGTTGAGAGGACGTGCTTCAGAACCTCCTGATCAGGTATGCTTCGGCTGGCTGACCGAAAAAGCTTCAGCAGAGTTTTAATAGCTCCTGCCTCCACAAGTTTCTCACAACATTTATGAGAATGTTGTGTAGCCTTGTCTGTAAATAAGATTCAAAAGTAAGTGTATAACGCAAGAATTCGATTTCATGTAGGAGAAATGGAAAGACAAGATGTTGGAAATGGAGTTTTAGCATCATACAATTATTAAACACTTACCCAAAGTAACACAAGTATGAAGAATGCCACTGACACTTTTCATTGTTCGTAGTTCTGAAAGTGCTGCCACAAGTCTGTTAATAATGCGCATGCTATCATCCACATTCGCAGCAGACTTTTGCACTCTCAAGCGCAAATCCAGTAGCTCACCTCCTGTCTCTTTTTTCCTTGCCAAGTAACCTCTCCACCATGACTGTCACTCAAAACAGTTTTTATTTTTATTTTTAAATTTGCCGAATTCCGAAAATCCAATTCAACTAGTTTAACATTTCTAACTGCTAAAACATGCTTTTACATTCATGTCAAATCAAAATCATGAGAAATGTACACGGACTATTACATGAAACAAGTATATGTGTGAGAGCCCATCTGGTACCACTTTGGCCACATCAAGTGACATTAGAGATCCACAGAATAAAAGAAATTAAGGGAACAAAAACATAAATGGTATGATATGGTAAATTGCAACAAATATAGAATATCTTACTTGTATTACAACAATACATTGCTTCTCTCCAGTAGCTTTTTGCCTATCCAACCACCCTCGAATATGAGACTGAATAATGACTGCAGACTTTGTTCTTAACTTTAGCAACATAGCACCTCTCCACCACCTTTGCAATTTCAACACAGAGCAAAAGACTTTATTTAGTTCAGCACTCTTATAGAAGGCTCCTGTGCTCTTTGAAATACAACCATTGGAGATGACTGGACGTAGGGAAGAAGCACCTGCAACAAATCAAAACCATAAACATTTCTAAACTATAAGTAAAATTTAACTCACAACTAGAACCATTCGGGATAATTGTACTAATATACCTAAGAGCCTATTTCGACTAATCTGCCCCCTGACTATCGGTTGAATTTTCATTGCAGCTTGTCTACAACGATGAAATGCCTGACGGCATATGATGTATCGAACAGCACTTTGGATCTTTACTGCAGCCTCTCTTTGACACAAGAAGTAACTTCTGATCAACCAACCACGGCAGTATCTCTGAATTCATTAAGTACGCCTAATGAGATATGATATTTACAAAACAAAAACAAACACAATTGGCGCTCATCCAGATCATAGAAATATTGGGATAATGGAATTAATAGACAATGTTTTTACCACCCTATATGCTCAGAAGAGATGGAAAACTACTTACCTGGATTGCAACAATGACATGCCTACGTTGATCAGCTCCTCTCCGGGCAACGCATGCACGTACATAAGATTGAATAACGGTGGCTGATGCAGTTGCAATTTTGTATTGCTGATAAGCCATCCAACATATTGACATTCGCAAAGCACTTTGGATTTTTATTATTGCTTGCCTTTGAGTGTGAAACCTTCTTCTCAATAGCCAACTACGAAAATGACTTTGAATTTTGGTTGCAGCAAACTGCTGATAGTGAAGAGAGTGACGGACTGAAAAATTCTTCCAAGCAAGCTGGATTTTAACTGCTCCCCATATTTGAAAATCATGCAAACCATTTTCCTGGCACAGATTGGAAGATTTATCTACTAGACCAACCCCATGAATGTATCTTGATCTTGTAAGCCACCCACGAATATGTCTTTGGACAACAATGGCAGCATTGACTAGATCAGAAGTGCATGCATCATGAGTTAAAATGCTTCCACCTCGATGTCTTTGAGTGATCCAATTCCTTACAGCTCGTTGGATGAGCAAAACTGACCTTTTTAAGTTGAGAAACCCATGTCTGCCAATAATGAACATAGCATATCTCCTCCCTGTTTCTCGTTGTCTCCACCTTTCTGTATGATTAGCCAAATCAATCATGTTCATGAAAAATTCCATACATAAAGGGATATGAAAGAATCACAGAAAGGAACATACCACATGCTAACTCTTGAACTTGAATAGTGCTAAACTTTATGCGAGCCGGTTTTTGCCTCACACTTAGCCAAGCACGGAAAACTGTTTGCAAAAAAGCTGCGGCTTTCAACATCTTCAAAAACTTGCGACGTTCAATAGCTCGTCTGAAATGTGATTGTATCCTTTTTGCAGCATTTACTGGAAGTAATAGATAAGGATTCCTCCGTCAGAGAACGAATATAGCATACCATACTCACGATATCAGGACCAGAAGTAAAATGATAGCATAAACTTATATATTGAAAATAAATTCTTCCCTCCCGAGTAATAGAAAAAATAAGAGACAAAAAAAAAAGACAAATCACAAACCAATTTTACTCTGGACTCAGAAAACTGAATGGAGAGGGAGAGGAATTAATGGAACATGCATGATCTCCCGAAGTCAAAATAATTAAAATTATAAACACTAAACCATAGTTGACAAATAATAATAGAACATAGTAACTACTAAGAAAATTAGAAGAGAAAAATTAATGCAAATTACCAAAATATAAACAAAAATATTCCATTTCTCACCAAGATTTTTTTTTTGTTTGGTCGCAACCTAGAACCTGGTAAGAATAAGAAATGGAAACATGATGATGACTACTGTAGCATTGAACTACAGAAGATAATACTAATTACCTTTTTGAATATTAATATTGTCTTCGTTTGTGGAAACGTTATGTAAAGCAGGAACAGCTGGTTTGGTAACAGACTTATGGTTCCTTTCAGCCATATCTTGCCACCAGGCCTGAATGGCCTTAAACTTTATTACAGAATCTGTTTGTATATGCAAACATTAGAATACACAAAATTGTACTAAACAATCAATTTTAACAAATGAATAAAGAGTTCTAGTTAAATACATGACTCCAACAAAAATCATTTCCAATTATGTGAAAACCAGAAAACAGAACTCCTTAAAAGAAAACAATGAAATTATCTCCTTTAAGTTGTCTAAGACCTCTTTTACTCCATACTGGTAAATGAATCAGTTCTAGTGACATGATCATATGCTAAAGGACAACTACTAGAAAGCTTAGAAAAGAAACCTTCAGCACTGTGGTCATATGTTTCTTCTTGGATATGTGCTGCGTCCGGTCTTACAGAACATTGCATACATGAATATTTTCTCTCTAGACTCTGGCAATCACAACGCAAGAGTTTATGGAAATTCAACTGATCCTGCAAAGGAGACAGTCAATTTTAATCTATGATGACAACATCCACATCAATTTCTTTCCACAACAATACATCAGGCATTACCATATTTTTCTTGACAATCAGTTGAGATGACAGGAACACCAATAGGATCACCACACTCCGGTCATTACATGCACCATTATATTCAAGAATGTCACTTATTTGCAGAACCTGTTGAAATAACTCAAGATGACTGTGATAACAAACCATAAGATTAATTATAGAACACCTAACTAAATCTAAATGCAATTCCAACATTATTTTGACTTATTCTCATAGGTATCCAGATCATCCAGAACTAGGAAAAACAAAAACTAGATAGGAAGTTAATGATTAAACGATAATTAGCAAAGACTAGCACAAACCTCTGGAAAATTTCCCAATAATGTCAACAATTTCTGTGATAATAAAAAGTTGTGCACTGCATCTGAGTAATCAGTTGCTAACATGATTGATTCTTCGTGACTGGATTTATCAGGATCCTGTAATGTAACAGAAATTAATGAGAATGAAGTGAAGGAAACTAGATCTCTATATTCACAAAATCTGCAAGGCTGGAACAAATATATAGCACCTTTGATGACCAACCACAACAAAGTTGCTTACGAAAGTAAAAGTCCAGCAGGCACCATATAGCTTTTCCATCCACCAATGAAGAAAAACTGTCGACCTTGCAGTCATAATTTTCACAAATTGCCTGGAAAACCCAACGACAATGATTGTTAAGTGCAGAGCAGTAAAAAAATTTGTTTTTTAAATTGTGAACAGCTTTCAATCCTCCAAAAAATCCAAATAAACATTTAATAAGCCCAGGAATAACAGATTAAGTGATACAGTCCTCATGAAAACACAGTGAGAGACCTGACCAAACATCTATAGTTAATTGCCAAAAGAAGGAGGACACAACACTAATACCAAATCCAGTCTCAATTGAGATTAAAAAAAGCAGAATGATCCACTCTTATCCCATAAACCCCCCCTCCACCCTAAAAAAAAAGGGAAAAGCAAAAAAAATGGTGAAGGCCCTATTCAATCCCATTCTTGAATGAAACTCAAGGGACTTTACCAACTAAGTTAATGGGCACCTTCAAGTTGTCCACTTATTCAAACAGAAAATAACCTCCAGCCACAAGTGACTGATGAAGCCCAAGCTATTGATAGAAAAATATAGTTCCACTTTCGTAGTACAAGATGTTATCTAGACTCTAACTTGAACAGTAGGGGTTAAAAAGAAGAAAGAGCATTCACATCTGATCATGTTCTAGTAAGAAACACACACAGTAATATTCATGATCCATGAGTAGGACTCGGATGAAGCATATGCATCAATACAGATTATTTGTTTGTTAGATTGCATAAGAATGCTATTGAAACCCCAAAATAAGAATAAACTAATTAATTTCACATATAGCGGCAATACCTGAATCCACTTTAAAAGCATTTCCAAGGAAGAGGATTCAAAATTGATCAAGTTATCCTGTGAAACAGAAGAGGATGATTCAAAGATAATTGTGATGGCAACTCTAGAACATGTAAAGATAACAAGGAAAAAAAACGTTTAAAATAACACAAAAGGAAATAGAAATAGGACCAACAGATAAACTAAATTAAAAACTGATCCACATTGAGACAGACATACCCCATTTCCACGAATCTTGCAAATTTCCTCAGCTAAGTTTGTTTTCTTGATCAAAAGAGGTAGCTGCAAGTTCAATGAAAAAGTTAGAGGAGATTGTTACTAACAAGTAGATGATGGTAAACTCGTGAACCTGTAATATAATAGTTCTGAAACAATAGGAGAGAGAAAGGAACAGGCCTGAAAATGAACAAACATGTTCCAGAGCAATGAGAGAGTAAGTTCCTTGTCCCCATGAGCGATATCATCTTCCAGAATCATCATTCCATCTTCATCATGTAAAGCAACACCAGCCTGCCTAAGGTATTGCAGGGCAATGCCACAATTTGCCAAGTGCTTCTTATGCGTATCTGCTGGAACAACCATTTTCTGTTCATCCAATAAAAAATTGAAATCAATAAATAATATATAATATCCTGCTAAACAATAGCTGAACCTGCCTATTCATTCAAAATATAAAGAAAGAAAGAAAGAAAATAACAACCGTGAGGATAGATGTGTCATCTTGCAAAAGTTGAATGATCCTACAGAGGCGCACCCCATCTTGAAGATCAACAAATAAATCTGTAACTCGGAAGTCAAATTCAACAAGCGGATCCTGCTCAAGAACAAATTTCATTGGTAAATTAGCCAGTGCATAAATAATTTTTCTTTACGCTAAAATCTGAGTAAGAACAAGTTTCATTGGTAAATTTCCTGCTCAAGAACAAATTTCATTGGTAAATTAGCCAGTTTAAGAATAATTTTTGTTTACACTAAACTCTGAGTTGACTTCATGCCTCATTTTTTTAATATATAGAAATGGCATTCACATTAGGGTAAAGTGCCTAATCTTAAATCAATATTTCTTTCCCTCGCACCCTGAAAACACACACACAGACCAAATCTCATGTAAATGAGTGTCATACATAAAACGAACCACCTACCTGCTGATAAGATACTTTGTATCCTAAAATCACCAGATGTGCGAAAATATTACCTTCTCCAAGCATGACATCAGATGAGAGAAAATCTAGTTTGAACCACAAAAAGACAAAAGTCAACCATACAGTTGATAAAGCACAGTTATAGAACAATGGACGAGCAACTGAAGAGAGGAGTGAATCGACAATTACCATGGATCACCTGATGACTTGATTTAATATTAGATTCAACAGTAAACAATAAAGGAGAACCCCCATCCAGTCCATCAATACCATACTTAAGGGAAAGACTGCTCTGACATTTAGCTCTATCAAGGATAAGAACAAGCAACAGAAATCTCTTCAAAATGACATTTCCCAGAGCTTCATAATAACCGGGTCTGTAAAGACCCTCAACCATCTTGTTATAAGCATAATCCTTTGCTAGACTCGCATGTGCAAAAATTTGCTTCTCAATGATCATTTTCAAAAATCTGATTTCTTCATCAGAATTAGCATCTCTGTCGGACAACAAAGAATCACCACCAAAAACAACGTACAAGCCAATTCGAAGCCAAATTGGGTTGTAGCTCATGAGGATTCTAGTGGCCTTCTCCTTGAACCCTACATCAGTTACTAAGGGGCAATGAGCCTTCATCTTCAACCTCCCCTCATCAATATTCTGGAAAGAAGACAGACAGTCAACATGGTTCAGTGCTTATAAATATTTACAAGCCCTGTTTGGTCAAATGCTACAATTTTCAGACCAACCAAACGTATTCAAATGAAAACATGTAAAGGAAATTTAGCATGAGATTATAAGAATCCAAACCTTAGCTACTTGAGTCATCGCATCAAAAACCTCTTTGCAATTGCCCATGCTCAAATATAGTCGCATTCGCTGCGTCAAATCATCAACACTACACACATGTTCCAACGAAGACCGTAAGTTCGAACACTTGGAGCTTGAGAATGCCACAGCACTCACGGCCCGCCAAGATGAGTCTCGCTGCCGCTTCGGGTCCCGCCACGCCGAGTCGACCCGGACCGCACTGCCGGGCTCGCTATCCCTCTTCCCCTTGGGAAGCGTTCCGCCACGATGATCCTCATCAACTGACAAAGTGCAGCCGCAGGATCTAGGGTTTTGGAAGAGGAAATTGAGCCAGACGGTGAGAGACTTGGCCAAGGACTTGAGCTTTTGCTCCTTTTGAATTTGGACCTTGCGAGACGACTGTGACTGCTCGACCTCGAAGGCCTTGAGTTTTCTGGCCGCCGCTTTGGTACGTCCGGAGTTCGACTGAGCGAGAGATGGCCGGCGGCGAAATGACGAAGAAGTACGCGGGGTCTGCTTGGAGGCTGTGAAGAAATGGGGGCCAGGGGAGTGTAAATTGGAGATTCGCGAGGGGCGTTTCGGGGTTTTGAAATTTGAGATGTCTCTGAAGAGAGAGGAAGGGTTTCTATACGGTGACGGTGACGGGCATGACGGTGGCTCTTCGCCTTCCATTGCGAGGGCTTTGTCTGAAAATGGTTTTGGATTTGAATTTGAAATGCGGAGAAGAGAAGCGGGGAAGGGTGATGATGACGGTGGAGCGTCGCACGTGCCGGGAAGTGAAAGGACTTGAGCCTAACGGGTTTTTGTTTTGTTTTTTGAATTCAAAAGCCCAATGGGCCTTGAGTCCAGAAACTTGAGAATATATAGCGCCTACAAGTCCAACAAGAGCGAAACGAGATGGTTGGTTCGTGAGGAGCACGCGCTCTCTGATTGGAAGAGCATTTGTCATTCTTTACAGCCCAGAAAGACACGAGAGCTTAGCTATACCCGTCTCGTCTCGTCTCGTCTCGTCTCTTCAGCTTTGCGTGGCCCTCTCAGAAGCTCTCTCTGCAAAACTTCCAAACCCTCTGGTTTCAATTCATCTCCTGAGCTCTTGATTTTACCTCCAAGAAAGAAAATTGTTGATATTTTGGTTCGAGCTGTAATTGAATAATACAATCATGGCTCAAGCAGTGGAGGAATGGTACAAGCAGATGCCTATCATCACCCGCTCCTATCTCACGGCCGCTGTTGTCACCAATATCGGTTGCTCCCTCGATGTATGTCTCTCACTTTGAAATTTGAAAATCTCTCTCGTTCTGTAATTACCCATTTGGTTTTGTGCAAATGGGTTTCTCTGATTTTGTCCGATTTCAATTTGGGTTTTGACTGAACTTTAGGAATTAGTCTCTTCTGCCATTGATTTTTACTTGGGTAGCTGCATGTTGTTTGTTTGGGTAGCTGAATGTTGTTTGTTTGGGAAAAAAATTGAGGAATGATTACCTGGAAATTTGTTACTTTATCTAAGTCTATAATTGTTATTATTACTATTAGCGAATTATTCAATGGAACTTAAATTCTGATAGCTGGGTTCAATTAATTAGTGCATGTACTGGTGTTGTTCAAAAATTTCTTAAATTTTGAAACCATCCTTTCTAGATTTCATTTTAGTTTATGCTCTATTGCAATTTTAATGCTCCATTGGATTTAATGGAAGTTCAGAAGGTTAGGCAGTTCTTGTAGTAATTTCTTTCTCCTCTATTACTGATGCCTAATTTTAAAACCTTTTGCAGATAATCTCTCCTCATAATCTATACTTGAACCCTATACTAGTTGTCAAGCAGTATCAATTCTGGCGCCTCGTCACTAATTTCCTGTACTTCCGGAAAATGGGTAATTCCTAGTGTTTATTTATAAAAGATTTCCATTTCTTGGGAGCTACGTTGTGTCATTTAATTGTTAATGTTTGTGTTTCCTAACATGGTTATATCTTGGCGTTGCCAGACTTGGACTTTATGTTCCACATGTTCTTTCTTGCTCGGTACTGCAAGCTTCTTGAAGAGAACTCTTTTAGGGGAAGGACTGCTGATTTCTTTTACATGCTCTTATTTGGCGCCACTATGTTGACTGGGATAGTTCTGATTGGAGGGATGATACCGTATTTGTCAGAGTCATTTGCGAAGATTATATTCCTCAGCAACTCTCTAACATTCATGATGGTTCGTTACTTTTCTTTGTTGGATTGTAATGGATTTGTTTCCAATTCCAAAGCTCAGTATGTTATTATTGTTTTTTTATGCATTGTCATGAATTCTTATTTTACAGGTCTATGTGTGGAGCAAGCAAAATCCTTTCATCCATATGAGTTTCTTGGGCCTCTTCACTTTCACAGCAGCTTACCTACCGTGGGTCAGTATGGTTAAATGTCTGCTTGATTTATATTGTTAATCCGTTACCTCTTCGGAATTATTAGTATTTTGGCCTCCTGTTTTTAACAAACTATTTGGCCTTTGATTTTAATCTTAGACAAGTCCTCCTGCAAATAATTCTTGCCTCCTTGATTATGTTGTAATGTCTGTTTCATTTTTCATCCAGGTTCTTCTAACGTTCTCCGTCATTGTTGGGGCTAGTGCTTGGGTGGATCTTTTGGTGCGTTATCTTTCTATAAGAATTTGCACAAATATTGAGATAAAAATTTTGCATCTCACCTTAGAGTTACAAAATTCAGTTGTATTAATTCATGCACAAATGGCTTATGATTCTGCCCCACCAGTTATACAACAATACTTAAAGGTTTTTCATGTACTAATAATGTTTTACATGTTGATTGGTTTTGAATCAGGGAATGATTGCTGGTCATGCCTATTACTTTCTGGAAGATGTTTACCCACGAATGACAGGTCGCCGGCCCTTGAGAACCCCTTCTTTTATCAAGGCACTATTCGCAGATGATCCTGTTGTGGTGGCACGGCCAGAAAATGTGAGATTTGCACCTCCACCTGTTGAGGAACTTCACCAAGATTAATTTAGACCTTCAGGAAAGCCAGGTTGATGGGGGCTTAGCTTTCAGGATATTGATCTGGCATTTAGGCAAGGCTTTGGCATGTAGAATGGCTTTTTGGCTCTGTAATATATAGACATCTACACAGATATACTAATTGTTTATTTGTGAATTTTTTATAACGCAAAGCTCATGTGCAATCAGAGTTTATTTTTCTCTCTAGTCGTGATGATCTGGTTATTTTAATCTCTAACGTTCACCTCAGGTGCACAATTACTTTGATCAGAGTTTATGCACAATTTCCACTTACGAAAATGTATCACAATGTTCTCCATTAGCAACCATGTCTTGTTTTACTTATCTATAAGATGCACCAATTCCAATTACAAGTTCCTCAAGTGGGGAAATGTATCTTAGTCTCCTCTCTTCCTTACCACATGAGAATTAGTTGTGGAAGATTATCAACAAAGCGCCATCAGATTTCTCAAATAGCATCAATCATATTCTCTTGAGCTTTCACAGTTATTTTTATATAATCTATTCTAAACTACTCTAATGTACAGTATGGGAAGGGAGATCGAACTTAGGTGCAAGAGAGCAGGTACGTTTTCACTTATTTGGCCTAGTCATGACATCTATGAAAAATAAGGAAAAGGAAAAGCAAGCCACAGCAGGCCTCAAGTATTGTTGTATTGGCGACATGGTCAAGCCGTTAATGGACGGAAGAGTACCTTAATTACACTCGTATCGATTGATCATCAAGCACTGGGCATTAAAAAAATGTACTTTATATTATATCACATCAATTGTCTACTGAGGGCAAAGAGAAGCATTATTTCTGCTTCAACAAACCATGATGTGAAACTCTAAAAACAAACAGAAACAACACCTACAATAAAATTACAAGAACATTTCCTTTTGTCACATGTTGATCAAATAAACCGCTAACTGTCAAAATAACCATGGAATTAATTTAACTATTTTCCCTTGGCTAGCTCCGGAGAGCCGTGTAATATACATACATCTAAAAAAATGCCGGCATCATGAGCCACACCAGAATACTGCTTCTGGTCTGTTTTTCTGGCTTTCCTACTGTCGCTCAATTTCATTAGCACCAAACTCCCAATCCGTAAAGAATTTTACTAGGGGGGGCAAAATTAACACAAAGAATAGATAGACCAGGCTAACGGATAGGATGATACTGAGCTGATACTCTCTTCGGGGGCAATTTGCGCAAGATGTAAAGGACTAGAGCTGAAGGCAGGATCTCAACCAGCTGCAGAGGACAGATATTTTAAGTTTTGAAGGGGAAAAAGTAAAAGAGTTTGAAGAATAGGACAAGAAATAGCTGTACAAATAAACAAGCGTAATACACTACCATGTAATAGATCACATTCAAAATTGGATGATCCAAAACATCAAGTGATGCATCTGTATCAAAAGCAGATAGGACAACCTGCATTTTGAATCGAGTTAATGAAACTCCCAGAAAATTCAATATACGCTGATAAAAGCAACACCTTATAAAGCAAATCAAGAAAGCCGTACGGTCATATGACTATCACTTTCTACCAGTGGAACAAAGAAATATGAAGTCTTAAGTTAAAAATTGTTGGGTCAAAGTTCAAAAGTTGATACTAGTTTGAAGCAGAACTGTTAATGCACCCCTAGTAGCCTCAGATGAGTCCTATAGCGTAAAAGCTAATGAAGAAATGTTATAGCTCTCGTGGGTTTCATTTGATTTCTATTCTACTTGATGTAAACACCAAAGCTGTACTTCCTATTTGGGATCTTGCAACTACCGAGACTTCGTTTTGTTTGGCTACAATGTAGATATTTCCCGGGTAAAAGCTCACAGGCACAAAGAGAACTCTTTGTAGACTAGAATGTTAACTATTCTTCTATGAGAATACAAGAGAAGGTTTCTTTGAATTTACAAACGCATAGAATGGTTTGAAGCTTACCACAAAGCATCTTACGAGAAAGCAAGTGAAACATATCGCTGTAACAGATCCAACCTGCAATGACAACCAATTGTTAGTCAATAGCACTAGTTAACAGAATGATTTTTTTTGCTGTAGTTTCTCTCGCTAGTTTAACCTTGAACCTTGATCTACATAATACTCACAATGCTTAAAGGAAGATTTTAAAAAAAACAAAAAAGTTGGTTGCAAGCAATTATGATGGTATCATATTTCAAGATAATTAAAAACCCTCCCAATTTCTGTGCATTGTATGTGTGTTTTAACTGACTAAGGTTTAATCCACTGCCCTCTGCATGCACATATCTAAACGATATCCTAAGAATAGACTTTGCATTCATTCAGAATAAATCTAGCCAAGAAGATTATGTGCCATAAATCTAGCAATCAGGCGTTCTAATCTGATAGACAAAATATATAGGCAAGGCACAAACCTCGTGAAGTTTCTTCCTTCTCCCTTTAGATTCAATGGGGAAGCGTCTCAGCATGAAAAATAACCTGAACGCATTGTTTATAATAATCCACCCATTACAAATGCAAATGCACAGGCACCCAAACAGAGACAACCAGGAGTAAGCTAACAGAATGAGCACAGCTCCATATGCTTAAATACGATGCAGAACACTCACCTTCCTCCGTATATCAAAAATCCTAGGGCAGCCACAAATGACACAGCTGAGACAAAAACAAACAAAATAATGAGTATTCTCATTAAACAAGAGAAGCAATGACGAGTATGCATAACAAGTATGCATAAGGCTTTGAGATGACAAAACAATCATTCTCAATAATGGGAGCCCTGTGAAATCTATTGCATGACTCGAAACAGGCCTTACCTGCAATGAATATCTTTCCAATGAACTCCACTACACTGTTGTCGTCTATCCAGAGGTATATCCAGATGCAAACCTGAAGGGAAACACACATATATCATAAGGCAAATTAAAATTTCTGAAGAGCTCCTTAAGGGACTTATTCCTGTTTATGCTAAGAACTCTAAAGCACACTGTCCAGCTAAGTTGACATGTGCCCTAGTGGTCAGGAGTTGAATCATCAACAAGCCTGTCCCATGCCTGGTTGCTCAAAAAAAACTACAGTTGTATATTAAATAGGCAAACCAGAAAGATGTCTTTTCTCTTCTATGTAACCTAGCCACAAAATGGGTAGGAAATTCAACCTAGGAGGGCAAAACCCAATATTTCGACAGTTGTAAAACTTTTTTCCCCAACCTTCTTGAGAAAGAACATGCAGGATGAAGCAAATGATTACAAAGTTAAAAGCAACCGGAGATCAAGGAGATTGGTAAAGCAAGAATGATTGGAAGGTGAGTGGGCTGCTTATGTAAGTAACACACATAGACGGGAAAAAAAAACATACTAGCCAGACACAGATGTTATGATAACAGCAAGGGATATAGAGAAACCACGTGATGAAGCATGCCAAGAAAACAAAAATGGGGCACACCTGTATAAAGTACATTGCAGCATTGACTGAAATATAAACAACCCTGAGCTTATCTGTTGGTAAACTTCTTGCCTGTTCATTTATAGTGAGAAATGAAGTCAGAAGTCTTCATTGATCAAAAGAAACAACCACATTTAAAAGTTGTACACCACAGTAGAATTGAAGTCTGGCTAACACTAACACTACTACCATGCAAAGAATTAGGGAAACATGCTGTTACCTGGTGATATATCTCTGCCCAGAAGAGAACAAGAAGTGTGTACGTAGAGAAGAACAGCAGTCCAGGAAGATCCAACAAGATCAATATTAGTACCTGGTTCAAGATGCAGCTGCCCAATTTTAGTATACAACCCCAAGGTTCATTGCTTTCTTTTTATGTTCTTGTCTTTCCAATAAACCAAACAGAGCCTTAATGTCCCTCAGAACCCCCAAAGTAAAATGGACAGTTAACAAGATGTAAAAAGTGAATAGAAGTGTCAAGTGGGATAACAGGGGTAGGTTTAAGATTTGAACTAACTGAAGCTTTACAAAACTAACCTTCGGGTGCAAAGCAAACACTTGATGATGAAATCCGAAAACAATTGCTCGTACTGCAAGAGCAACACCAAACAATGACGACAAAAGAATTTCAAACTGAGAATTAAAGGACAGAATAACAGGAGAGACTCTGAATGGGAATAATGCACTGAGTATCACCTCCATTAACAATGAAGTTCATAAGATGAAAAACCTTCTGCGTAGTCCAACCGTATTCGGGCACTCTCAATTCAATCCTTATTAGTTGAAACTGTGCATCACGAACACAAGCAATCAACTTAGGATACTCATAATAAACACTGTTCATAATTTTCTTGATAAACAAGTGGCACTTAGTAACATGTGCACTAAATCCAGCTAGTTTTGTACATCAACAGCGACAGTTGTTGGCACTTAATTTTATCTAAAATTTGAACTACGGATACAAAACTAAATCGAACCATGCTAATGTTTGATGTAATTTCGGGGTGATTGTATAAATTCCAGCTTATTGATGATTCCGATCTCGAAATTCATACAAAATTAGCTACTGAAGAACCAAATAAGAAGCTAAACTAACAAGCACACGAATATCTTTAGCTCGTTGGAGAGAGATGGAAAGAGAAAGACCAGACCAGAGCGACGGAGGAGACAAGGGCGTATGCAGCGCAGAGAGCGTAGAAGATGCCGTCCTGCCATCGGGTGTTCTCGTTGATCTCGTCCCACCAATTGGAGAGGAAATAGGCGAGCTCCATGGGCGCGGAGGTGAATGTGAATGGCATTCTCGTCATATTGGGCGGGAGCTCCTCCGAGGCCGAGAAGCTCAGCGAAGGTCAAAATGTTGAGAAGCGGAGAAAGGAACAGAGAACCTCTCTGCCT